CGAAGATGTAGATGTAGCCGTTTGCATACATGGGGGTCATGGCCGCCCCCATTGATGTCCCAGAGATCTGTTGATACCATGTACTTTCAAATCTGAAGTAATTCATGCTTAGAACAAGATGTAGTAATTCCATGGTGTAGTCTATGGGTGGGCCCACATAGTATGTGGAGGTGGTCAATAGTTTGCGCATAGCTTCGATACCATCTTGGTGTGGTATGATAGTGTACAGGTTTTTCAAATCGCATGTTATGAACAATGCAGCAGGGTCGAGGGTATCGGTATTTCGGAGAGAAAATGGGAGAAATTATGAGTCTCTCCCACAAGTTTTCAAAGATCCCCCTATGATGTGCTATCGCAGAGGAAGAAAACTAAGGGACCTGTTGGTCAAAACAGACCCTACCCACTGCTACAACCCTCAATCAAAACATCTGAACACTGGATGCTATAGATGCTTGGGCTGCGTGACTTACAGCCACATGATCCCAAGTAAATCATTCACACATCCCCACACAGGGAAGAAATTTACTATCCGCCACCGCCTGACATGCACGAGTGACTGTCATTTACAAATTGATGTGCCCTTGCGGCCTTTCGTACAAAGGAAAGACAGACCTCCCACTGCGTGAAAGGATCCGCAACCACCGCTCCAGCATTCGGGTGGCCTATAGAGACAATGGTTCAGACTTACCAGTGGCAAAACATTTCCTCGAGCATAATCATCCTTTACCGAGTAGGAAATTCCTGGCTCTCGACCACATATCCATACGTGGCGGTGACCGCAAAAAACTTTTATTACAGAAAGAATTCTTCTGGATAAGAACTCTTGACATGGTACAAAGGACTCAACGAAAAGTACTCCCTGGGAATATTCCTATGATGCATCAACTATATCCAGTATTTTTGTTAACATACTCTGTACTAGTATTCTGCACCATTGATAGGGCAGTATGTAAAGTAGTGAATCAGTAACTCACTGTACTCATTCCATGATCATATATTTTCTTCAACAGGATAACTACAATCCTGGGTACATGCTTTATATTTATACTTATTTTTATTATTGGCAACTATTGCATTTGCTGCAGTCAGCTTGTATCTATATAACCAATACTAGATATGATTTATTCTTTTAACACTACTGCTACTGACCATGTGCATTGTTTATTATTGTTTATTTTTGCTTTATACTTCCAACTGGATTATCATTTGCATTCCCTATACCATATGTCTTGTTTATAGAGCTTCTTCTATTATATGCCCTTACTAAACACACTATCCCATGGGCTCTTCTATATGACCAGCATTTCCTACCTGGTCTGTACCTTTAAATACACTGATGGCTATTAACTGAGTCTGAGTGTGAGTCATTAACGATTTTATTCACACCAGCTGCTAACACTCCTAGAGTCAATTGTAAGTACAGCGTGTATACATTGTTTTGATTATGTTAATGTGTATGTATGTTATATAAGCACTGTTTGTACTGCACTCCATTAGAGAACTGAAACGTTGATCTACTACTGACACACACACACATACACACTATCCCTCGATGCAGCTATCCCCATTAGTCCGTTTCCCCCCACCAGACTAACCGCACCTCACTGCTCTCCTCAATTTATTTAGA